GTGTGTGTGTGTGTGTGTGTGTGTGTGTGTGTGTGTGTGTGTGTGTGTGGAGACAAAGTGATGTTTCAAAGGTGCCACTTTGTTAGACAACGTAAGTAAAAACAAACATGATCATTATCGATGGATCTGCTGATGATCTGAATGGCCATCTTCAAATCGTTTTAACCGATTAATACTCCAAAACCCAGATATACACAAATATCCAGTCATCAAAATAGTTGAAGTAAATCTGGTCTAACAGCCACACGTCATGTTGACCTTAAATTAATGCTAATCACCAAACGGTTTTACACAAATGCACCGAATTTCTAGTTTATACAGCCTGAACTGACACGTTCGACTTACTCATCCTGACTTAACTGCTCACAGTAGTTTTGTGCTCACTTGATATTTTTACTGTTAATGAACCCTCCATAGCGTCTCCACCTTCTCCAGGCATCACAGTAGACATTTAACAAAACAAAAATGAACGAAGGTTGCTTTCGCAGTCGAACTGCCGCATTTGGTCTTTGGTCTCCTGTCAGTTTTACAGCCACTTTCATCCGTTTGAAGAGAGGACTCGGCTCCGCTCTCCTGACCTCAGTTCAGTACGTTTGAACGAGCTGCCTGGACTCAAAGGGCAGAGGTCATCGCTTACAGTGTAGGACGGATCATGTGTGGTGTCTGAGGAAAATCTAATGATGGTGGTTACTGTGTGACTTGCCATGAGAGAACACATTTGGCTTTGAGGTACTATGGTCGAGTCGGCAAAAGTTCAAAATGAAGCCATAATGTGCAAAAATAGACTGTCGTGGACACTTTTAGCCCTGGGGTCATGTTAGATTAAAGCCTCAGCATTGCTGACGATGTTTGGTTTGAAGGAAACTAATGCTGTTATTTTACTGGTCAAGTGAGAAGTCTGTTTAAAAAAAAAAACCATCAATATGTAAATGTACGGAAGACAATTGGGGCCCAAAACTGAAGTTCTGGAATAGTGTTGCAAAAATAGTCTGAGATTAAAGTTGTACTTTGTCTCCGAACATGGATTCATTCAAAGCCTCTCACGGCCTTGATCCTCTTCTGTAAATGTCTGACGACGCGTCTTCAGCTCGTCTCCATGTGCTTTCATTTCCTTTGTCTATTTTGGTTCCCCCGGTTTGTACCGTTATGGGTGAGTTCTAAAAGCGAGTTGTTAATTGGATGATTATAATTCCTGTGAATCTCCACAGCACTGAGTACTCACACAGGTTTTATAAGCAAGTTTGGTCCCAATGTGGGCTTTGTAATATTTCTCCAAAAAAGAAATTTGAAATGTCGAGTTTGTAGAAAATACTAATTTGTGTAAAGACGAAGTGGACAACTGGCATATTTTAAACTTTTTTTTACATCCAAAGTGTGTAATTCTGCTCCATTATTGTGGAGATGGCTCAACTAGGCTACTGTACATGTGAAACATTGCTCTCCTTCATAGGGTGGGGGGGGGTCATTTGAACCAGGGGCCACATTCAAAGGGGACAGGGTGCTGATTTTTGTATGATGGAGAGACTAAACATGCTACAAACTGAAACTTTTTCTCAAGTGTTTTTTATTCCGACGTCTCTGTATCCTTTAATGTATCTTGATAAGAAAAGAAATAAAGATTTTTTTTTTTTCTTCGTGGTCAGTCATGGGCTCTTTGTCCACTGTGTGTCCCGGTGTTCGCCTCATTGCTCCCAGAGAGGAAACGAGCCGTGTCCTCTGTAGAGCCGGGTATCAAACCTCAGTGTGTCTTTAATTAGATGTGGGTCAAAAACTGCATGTTTCTTTGTCTTGTTTATTTATTCCAAGATTAAATATGTCCAAACACAAATAATATTTCTGCTAATTTTATGCAAAAAAAAGTTTTTTTAGGCAAAATAATTGCGTGTTTTTTTTTTAAATTAAAGACTTATTTATTTAGGGAGTATTTGGTAAGAAAATTAATTTTCTCCATGTGAGGTATCAAGAAGGGCCATTTTGGCAACATAAGGGGTTGAATTAGCCCTGGCATGAAAAGCGGTACCGATGCTGATGGCTGCTTTTCTAAAGGTTTGAGTGACTAAAGTTAACTATATTTAATGTTTGTGGCATTAAAGGAGCAGTGTGTGGGGTTTAGTGGCGAGGCTGCAGCCAACTAAATATCCCTCCACTCACGGCTCCTTTTACAAGCGTGTTGGAGAACTACGGTGGCCTTCAGTGGGCAAAAAAGGTGAGAGGCTCTCTCTAGAGCCAGTGTTTGGTTTGTCCTTTCTGGGCTCCTGGAGAAATATGGTGGTACAAGTGAAGAGGACCGGCTCTCTATGTAGATATGAAGGGCTCATTATAAGGTCATGGAAAACAATGAACAAGGCCAACGCATCTGTCATTTCTTTTATCAAATAGTGAGTAAAAATCTATAATAAAAGTGCTTATTCCACATAAACTTTATCAAAAAAAAAAAAGGGGGGGGGTAATAGTTCTTTGGTAATCAATGATGTTTAGCTGTGATTGTGTATTTTACAGTGAGTAAGACATAACTGCAATAAAGTATGGGCCAGCACATCTAAAACCAATCACTATTCAATCTTTTTATTACAAAAACATTGTTAGAATGGCGACAACCTAGCTGGAATCTTCATATTGACCCATTATTTCATAATCTGGCATCAATAAACATAAGATAGGTGCTTTTGTATTTCAATTTCTTTACAATTCACTCACCGTTTCCTTCCACAGTTTTCAGTTGGAGGTGCAGTTATGTGGAACACCTCATCTCAGATTTTTAAAAACTTATCTTGACGGACCACAGAACTGTGTAAATGAGGTATGATACTGTGTATGAAAGCAGTGCAAATATGTGTTATTTGAATCTGTTTTTAAGTTTTTTTATGTCTTATTTCTTTTTGGGAAGTTCAATTATTTTCTTCCTTCAAGTTATTCTAAATATGTCTGTTTGCAAATTTTTGGTGAGCATAAACAGCTGACTTTAATTTACATGTTGGGTGGGATCATTTAACACACCCACAGGTTTTTTTTAATTTATTGTAAAATTCTTCTCTTTTGTTTTATTCCATTATATTCACAAATAAAGAGGGAAAAGATTTGTGAGTCAGTGTCCTGAAGTTAGAGTCCAAACCTCAATTAATACTTGACAGCTTGAGCAGTGAAGAAGGTGACTTATTATTATTTTGTGTTTCCTGCTACTTCAGGATTAAATCTAGTTCTCAAAAACAGAACTAAATAACATTCACTGTGATTTAAAATGTCAAAAGAATAGAAAATAAAGGGATAAATCCTTTCTGGATGAATCTGAAGTGCGTTTCTACTGACGGTATGAACATATTGAAGACTTCCTGATCTGGGTCTGATTAGAAACGATTAGCCTGGCTAAAGGAAATATTTGTCTGTTTGTACTCAGCTGTGTTCCTATCAGACGGCTTTTAATTAGAAGGCTTGTTTGAAATACTTCCGACTGAGGTGTTAATTTCGACAAACCTGAAATGAACCCGAGGCCCTCGCCTCTAACGGTGTGTTCACACGGAGGATGTGGATTGAGCCCTGTGATAAACATCCACTCCAGCACAGAACTAATCAGGTTTGTCACTGACGGACGGTAAAGAATACAAAACAATGAAGGAAATGAAACTATGAGCATACAACAATGAGACATCATGGTGTCCCACAAACAGCCCTGTATTTGATCAGAAATACATACACACCGGCTGGATTCAGCTATATTCACGAATGTATTTTGTCATTTAAAGTATTATCTTATATCTATAGATATAAGATAAGACTTTACATGATATATCTACCTATATATATCTATAGACATATATATATTGATATAAATATAATATATAATGTAAAATAAAATAACTTATTTATATATATATATATATATATATATATATAGACATATACAGATATGTATATAATGTAATATGATCAGCTTATTATATAACATATGTCTGGACTCTGATTTATCATTTCATATCTTACGCAATAGAAATATAAACCAGTCTCTACTCAATCTTTTTATGACTAAAATGTTAGAATAAAATGAAATGTTATACAGTATGCCAGTGCCAGACTAGCTCTTTCACCTGACAAACAAACACATCTAAGCTAACATTAGCGTTAGCCAATGTTTGCTAGCGCTGCAGGTACTGTGACGCTGATATCGTCACAGCTGCTAACCGGATTGGTCCGTCTTCAAGCGCGTTGATTGGTCGCCGGGGACACACTCGTGACGTTGTGCTCGAGCACACCTGATGCTCATTTTCAAGTAGGAGGCGGGAGGTGAAAGCCGGTTTAAAAGTTAAGAGGGGAACACTCTACCTTTGCTTGTAACTCCATTACAGAGCAGGAGGGTCAGGGTCACTCTACTAACACACCCTTCTGCTCGTTAGACCGGGTTTTCTGCCAGGTTTCACCTCTCAAAATCTCACAAGTAACTCCATCTGTTTGCAGTCATGTTTGAGGCAAGTCTTTTTACATTTGTCTTAAATATGAGGACCTACTTTCTTTTGTAACGTGAAGTATTGTTGGCATTGGCAATAACATTAGTACATCATTGATCAGACAAATGAGGGTTTCCATTTCCATGACTGCTACTTGTGTTTGTATAGTCTTGAGGTAAATGGTAGAATAATTTAAATAATTCCATGTCGCATGAGGATCTGGGAATTTGTTAAATTAACTTGTTTGGAGGGAGTGTATAGATTAATGGATTAATAAATACAATATCATTAGATGCAGCCTTTTTCTGAAAGACTGGAAGTTGATGGAAGGGAACAACCAACAGCATTTAGCAGTCTTATGCTAACTCACAGGAGTTGGAGCTCAAATACATTTTCTGACTTGTGGGATTGTTTGCAGAAGAAGTCCCTCAACACAAAGGCACTCTATAGAGCTCATTCCACAGGCAGAATTTGGACACTAATAAATGGTGGACATCTTTTCTTAAAGATCAAAGTGACTTCTCATGAAGTGAGGAGAATATGGATGATGTGCTGTATACCTTCAACTCAAACTCTGAACCTTTTTTGTTTTCAGGCCAGAAGTGATGACTTGTTCCTGCCTTCCTACCAAGATGAGATGCTGGTGGACAACCTGCTGTCCAGCGAGGAATCGGACATAGATTGTGGCGGTGAAGGCTTCTCCCTGGCTGAGGCCCTGCTCCCCCTTGTAGAGTCCTCCTCCCCGACCCTCAGCCCCTGGGTCTGCTCCACCCGCTACAAGACCGAGCTCTGCACCAGCTACTCCACCACTGGTGTCTGCAAGTATTCCGAGCGCTGCCAGTTTGCCCACGGCCTCCACGAGCTCCACGTTCCCTTCCGCCACCCAAAGTACAAGACGGAGTTGTGCCGCGGCTTCCACACGACCGGCTACTGCTACTACGGCAGCCGCTGCCTGTTTGTCCACGACGATGCCGAGCAGCGCCCTGCCCTGCGCCGCCGCAGGAATGTCCCCTGTCGCACCTTCTGCTCCTTCGGCGTCTGTCCCTTCGGCACCCGCTGCAACTTCCAACATGTGGAGGGCGGAGATGTCGGCAGCGGTTCGGAGTCGCCCGACGTAGGAGAGGAGATGCCTGTGCCCGTTTCCAGCCCCCTCCTCCAACATCCGACCAAACAGTGGAAGCCCCGCGGAGCTCTGTGCCGCACCTTCAGCTCCTTCGGGTTCTGCCTTTACGGCACACGCTGCCGCTTCCAGCACGGCCTCCCCAACAAGATCCGAACAACCGACCAGTTCCAAGGAGGGTTGTCCGGCAGCTCTGGTTTACCTTCCCCCACCTCCCTCTTCACCTCCTCCTCTCCAATATCGTCCACCTTTTCTTCTCCTCCGTCGGACTCTCCTCTCGCCACGCCGCCGGCAGAGGTCAGTGCCCACAACGCCTTCACCTTCTCCAGTCAGCACCTCAGTGACCTGCTGCTGCCACTGGCCCTCCACCTGCAGCAGCTGGAGAGCAGCAAGGCCCAGGCGATCTGGGACAACAGGGCCATCTAACTGGATGTGGTCCCAGTTTGAAACCAGCACTGAACACCACAGCTCAATTAAATAGATTGTTTATTTTTTAAGTCCTCTTGTCGAGGGTATTTATTATATATATTTTTTTTAAGTTGAGGTTGTTTGACTTGAGAGCTTGTGTCAGCAGCTCAAGCAGGACTTGAACTGTTAAATTGCAGATTTAGTCTGGTAGTTTTGGATATGAAGTCTGTGGAATCACTACAGTTACTGCTATTAGTGTAATTCAATTTTTTAACTATTGTAAATACTTTATTAATGAACTGAGTAAATGAAATGTCTGACCTCAGAATCATGAATAAACTAATTTTAATTTCTAACCTTGCTGTGAAAGTCTTTGTTTTTTTTGAACTTGTAAGGTTTGCTTGTGCATCAAGGTCTCTTAGAAATCAATCAGTGTGACTACAGTAATATGTGAGTACAAAAAGGACACCGATAATGAGCTACAGAAAAGGTCCCTTGGTTCGCTCTTACTGCTACAGTTTACAATATTTTAGACTGTAAGCTGATCATTGTTTAAACATTACAATTGTACAACCTTCCCAAGTTGGGTGTGTAAGAACTTAACTGACCAGAGGCCTTCCATGACCTTTTTATAGAAATATAGAATGCAGAAACTGTTCTTAAATATTTTATACACAAAGCAGGGGTATGGGAGCTACGGCATCAAGGAGTTTTGTCATGATACAAAGACTTTTCTTTGACCCATAAGGCCACTAATGCACAATTTTTCGGTTATCAATAAACTTATTCTTTACAAACTGTGCTAACCAATATCTGGCATTTCACTCTTTCCCCTTCATCTTTTTGGGTTATCACAGCAGACCAAACACTCCGCAATACAAGAGCCGCCGGTGTCTGACTAGACACCGGAAAAGGCTAAAGCCTCTATTAATTGAACTGTAGCTCAATGCAATCCACCAATCACTGGCATTCACCTCTTGGCGCGTCACTAGTTTACGGAAATGGGAAAATCAATATGTAGCAGTCAAGTTGGCAAGAATGAGACCGGATGTGGTGCGTTTTAATCAAATTCATTCACTTGGATTAAGAAAAAGTAAAAAAAAACCCACTAAATTTCTATAATTTCCCTATTATATTGCATTTAATCATAATAGTGTCACTCTTCAAAAATATTCTGCGCGCTCCAATGTCGTCTTATTTTGAAGGGCGTAACTGATTTCCTTTCTCATGCTGGCTAACTTGACTGTTAATAGAGCGCCTGCTGTTTGGAGGAGCTACGCTGATGCAAACTTTCCCTCTGACTCCGATACTCGGCCAACAGCCGCTCTTAGCTAAGACGGTACAGTCTAGTTCAAATATTTGACATTTGTCATTGTACTTTTTCTGTCGTTAAACAGTAAACTTAAGCTAGTAGCATCTTACGTGATTGTAGCTGGCTACAACCGGTAATGGCTCAGGCTGGTAACGTTATTTGGTTGCCTCATTGTATTTTACTATCTAGTGTTATCTTAAATAACGCAGTAACACACTTTTATACAGCAAAACAGTGGTAGCTATCTTCGCGTCACTATAACGTAAATTATAATTTCACAATATTCACTTTTCAATTGTTTGTTCCAGCTGATAGACGAAACCCATATTTAATTTTGTTAGCATAAGGACACTGTTCGAGTTCCTACTGGAAAAGGTGGTAAATGGAAGATGTTTGTCTTATTGTCACTATCATATAATGGATACACCAAAAGTCAAGACCTGCAACGAATTGGATATGTGAATTCGGGATATGGCTGATCAATCAAGCACGAGTCTATTTGAATATAATCAAAATCTAAACCTAAAAACACCAGATGTTGCAGCCTTTACGTAGGGAGCCCCAGAAGTTCTAAAAGACCTGGCGCCCTCCACGCCGCCTCCATGTCTAAGATGTACCGGGCCTTACAAACGGTCTCAAAGGGTTAACGTAAGGTACTTTTCCTCCTCAGTTTCCGAGTCGCCCCCGCCAGCATGGCGGACCGGGAGGAGCGCCGCTTCGCCGAGGTTTCCCGGGACTCCGTCAAACTCATGGCCGAGAGTGTAGGCGTGGAGCTGGCCGACGATGTGGCTGCTCTGCTGGCCGAGGACGTGTGCTACCGGCTCAGGGAGGCAACGCAGGTGAGTGTTTCCATGATGACTGAAACATTAACGTGTTACTGAACCTAACATCCATCTTTTGAGTATGAAGCAATCACTCCATTTAGTCAGGAAAGAAATCTTTCTTTCACACTGAAAAGATGAATTTAGGTTTAAAAGCTTCATCAGCATTTACAATAGGAAACATACACAAATGGACAAATCTTCATCACGTTATTTGATCTAACATCTAAGGTGCAGTACTGACTGCGTGTTGTTTTGGACCCACACAGAGCAGCTCTCAGTTCATGAGACATGCCAAGAGGAGGAAGCTGACGGTGGAGGACTTCAACAGAGCTCTGCGCTGGAGCAACGTGGAGGTGAGTCTGAACAGCTCAGTCTGACATGACGTGAACATGCTACGGCCATCGGTGCCTCCAGCTTCTTTATCTCCGTGTGTTCATCAGGCCGTGTGTGGCTTCGGGGCCCAGGATGCTCTCCCCTTCCGCCCGGTGAAAGAAGGAGAGCTTTTCTTCATCGAGGACCGGGACATCAACCTGGTGGAGTTGGCTCTGGCCACCAACATCCCCAAGGGCTGTGCTGAGACCCTGGTGCGAGGTATGAGCTACCGCCCCGTCATAAACTATTCACAGAGGTATCATTGATGCTGAAAGTTTTTTTTTAAATCAGGAGGTATCTTTTACTAATCATTGTTCCTGTTTTCTGCTGCTGTCAGTAAACGTGTCTTACCTGGATGGGAAAGGCAACCTGGAGCCTCAGGGGACAGGTAAGACTCAGACACATCATTATTAACGCACTCAACACACAGTCGTCGATGTTGCTCCTCTACTCATGATCAAGGAAGTGAATGCGAGGAGGACAGAATCCCTAATATGTGAATTAAATCGCAGTGCTTAATCTTGTCAAATGTCACTCTGGTGCATGCTCACAGAAATGCAACACAATGTAGTAAAGCAGAAGATGACGAGTGTGATATAGTGTATTGACAAGTCAACACACAGCTGAGTCACTGGCAGGCTGTGTGCAACAAAATAAACATGGAGGAAGTGGTTCAATTTGAAGTCCTTTATTTGGTTTATATTGCAAAAAACATGCAGAAATGAATTTTATTGAACATGCATGTAAAACTATCCTCCGCCTTATTCAAATCCAGGGTTCTGACCAGATCACTACATGCTCACTAGCCCCTAAAGGAGGCATCCTTCTGGAGATGTTTTCTACCTGTTACATTTGAAATGTGTGCAGTTAAGGCACAGAAACACCGTCTCACGTTGAGCTCCTTATTATTTCTCATGCTGTATCTACAGCATAGGTTAAATTGAATGTATGTCACTGAGTGTATCCGTCTAACCCTGACGGAGGTGTCCAGTGTTCGTCACTGACTGTTGCATTGTCTCAGTTCCCACAGCGGTGCAGTCTCTGTCGGACGACCTGCTGAAGTACTACCAGCAGATCACTCGGGCCATCCTGGGAGAGGACCCCCACCTCATGAAGGTAAACTGCTGCTGAGCACGGGTCAGTCCGGCTAATGAGTGGCTCTGTTCCAACCCGTTTCTTCTGCGTGTTTCAGGTGGCTCTGCTGGACCTCCAGTCCAACTCCAAGATCGCTGCCCTCCTGCCGTACTTTGTTTACGTCATCAGCGGGGTAGGTTTGTCCCATGATCACGTCTCGTGGATAATTCACTTTTAAACTAATCCAAACAAACGGTGACTGGAGGAAATGTCCTGGTAAAGCGATTTTAGATGTAAAATCTAGCATATTTTTAAAAAGTAGATAAAGCAAATGTAAACATGTTGATTGTGTGGCTGTTTCTGTGCAGGTGAAGTCAGTAAGCCACGACCTGGAGCAGCTCAACAGGCTCCTCCACATGGTGAAGAGCCTGGTCCAAAACCCCTACCTGTACCTGGGCTCCTACGTGCGCAGCCTGGTCTCCAGCGTCATGTACTGCATCCTGGAGCCGCTGGCCGCCTCCATCAACCCACTCAACGACCACTGGACCCTCAGGGACTACGCTGCTCTGCTCCTCAGCCACATCTTCTGGTGAGCAACGAGCTGTTGGCTACTCTGACCCGCATTCTGTCCACAGGGTTCAAATGACCACATGAATACCATACATGTGTCTGCAGGGATACTTGTACTTAATATGAAACAAATAATTTGTAAAATAAACAGTAGAGTTAAAATAGGAGATCACTCATATTTTACAATACATGCAGCATCTTTAAATTAGAGCATTTTCAGGCCTGTTTTTACCTGTGAAATGTACTCTGTAAGTCAGTAGTGCTGCGTTGTTCCACAGCGTGCTACGTCACGGCTTCATTCATGCTTTTCCATTGTCAAAAGTTCTGGATGGTACCCGGTCCTCTTGTTGGTACCAACTCGGTCGAGGTTCCAAGCGAGCTGAGCCGACCCTAGAAGGCGGAGCTAAAACGCTGCAGGCTGCTGATTGGTCAGAGAGAATCCTCACCAGATCCTGCACAAACAGATTTTTAAATAGCCAAGCTTCTGTCAATAGCAAACTGAATTTTTTTTTATTCACTCGACCCAGTTTAAAAAAAGTATATCTTTGGCGTATTCTACGCTGTACAATTGACGAGATGCAGACGTTCCTGTTTGGTTGCTGAAAGGATTCAGAGAGTGTAGTGTTGAGGATCACGGCAGTTTCATTGGTCGTTGCTATTACGATCAGCTAAGAGTCCCGCCTACACTACTATCTGCAGTGGAAAACGAAATGGAGAAAAATAACTGGTACCGAAAGTTAAGACGAGTCAAGCAGAACCAAACCATGCAGTGGAAATGAGGCACATGTCTCTTAAGCAGTTTGTCCATCATGACACAGAAACCTTTTTTCAGTCACTGTTTAATATTCCTGCATATTAAAGAGCATCTCTCACAGCCAGTGTAGCATTGTCCAGTTTATATTCCTCTTAATATACGGCATCATTTAACAAAGTGCATCATATCTGAGGTGGCTAAGACCACAGCTGAGACGTTGATAAATCAACAGAAAATTAAGAAAACATTTTGGTATTTTTGTTCGGCATAAATCCCTAATTTGACCTAGTTCAATCATGTGAACTGTGCTTTATTCTTTGTTCTTTGTTTCATGTGACAGTTAATGGACTGTCTTTGGGTTTTGTACTGTTGGACGGACAAAACAAGACATTTGAGGACATCCGTTTGGCTTTTAGTACATTTTCATGGACATTTTCTCACATTTTATTCTCAAAACGATTCATTCCTTCAATGAGAAATTCTGAAAATAATAATTATTTGCAGCTGGATCTCTCCCCAAATCTCTCTGTCACATGGGTTAATAGGTTTTGGTCCAAAGCTAGCTTGAGTCTGTGGTTTCTGGGCAAAATGTTCAGTTTGCTGTATTTTTTGTTGTGCCGCTTGAGGGCAGTGGAAATACAAATATTTATTAGTGCTGGGCAATGATTAAAATTTTTAATTGCGATTAATCGCATGATTGTTTTGCGATTAATTGCATTGTTATGCGCAAAGTTCAATAATGAATTCAAAAGTAGTGCACTTTTATTTTAAAAGAAATGAACAAAAGGTCAATAACATTTGGTTTGCAAACACTTTAAACAAATAAGGTTCTTTTTAACAGCAGTATTCCCTTTACACAGTATCAGTTATATTACAGTTATAATGATTTCTGATAATAGATATTCAGCTGGTGTTCACAACTTTATCTTCATGTGTGTTAGAGATGCAATTAGAAATATACACCTTGAAAACTGCAAACCTATCTACGTCATGTTTTTTTATGTTTGTTAAATTCTCAGTAGCGATAACTAAATGATATGCTTATTATACATATTACAAACAAAACAACTTTAAAAACTCTAAAAAGTATTTTGGTCAGACACATATGCAACGCTTATTACCGTAATATGTGTGGTATTTGTTATAAATGTACGTTGGTACATAGAAGGTGATAAGCTGTACATGGAGGGACTTAGGACACAGGGGGATGTAGGTGAAGCATGGGAACCTGGAGGGTTGTAATAAATGCTAATGAAGAGTTGAGTTAAGAGCAGTTTGTTCTCACGTGCTTAAATGTTTATTTAAAAACACGACAATATGTATTTTGATATTGTCACGTTTGATCCTGTAACGAGACGATCGCGTGCACGTGTGTGTGTGTGTGTGAGAGACAGGAGGGACCGACGGTTCCGGACCGGGCGTGTCACGGGGGGTGGATAATAACGTGTTAACTTGCCCAGTCCTAATATTAATACATATGACCACCGTTTGCTCTATCGGCGAACATATTAGCATTCTGTGGCCTGTTTACACATCCAGCAGACGCGGAGCAACATTAGCATTCTGTTTGTTTTTGTGCGTGTCTCCAGGACTCACGGGGATCTGGTGAGCGGTCTTTACCACCAGATCCTGCTGTCGCTGCAGAAGGTTCTGTCCGACCCGGTGAGACCGCTCTGCACCCACTACGGAGCCGTGGTGGGGCTTCACGCTCTGGGATGGAAGGTGTGTTCACTGCTTCTGTAAATCTCAGCAGTCTCGTGTTTCTGCATTAAAGTACCCGTCGTACATTACACTGAGATGGTGTGTAGCTGTGGTTAGTGACTTACAGCTCTATTGTGATTCATGGAGTACAACTGTATCATCTCAGTGTCTGTGAGACACTTTCAGAGATATTTATCTACAAATACGTCGAACATTCTCCTCTTCAATAATATATTTTCGTTCCATGTCGTCTTAATTGTCTGTACACTCAGTGTGTCTGATAGTATTTGCAAATATTCTTCACGTGTCTGCTTCACTAAAGCTTTGAATTATTCAAACTCAAGATGTTGTATTCCTAAATATCCTGGATGTCTTACGCATCATTTTGTAGACATTTCTGCAAACACCCAATTCAAACTATTGAGGAAATCTGGAGGTCTGCACCAGAGTCATTGCTGTAAACCGCTCTCCTCTCAGGTCTCCTCAATAACCAGTGTGACGATCATCTCTGGTGTGTGTGTGTGTGTGTGTGTGTGTGTGTGTGTGTGTGTGTGTGTG